TCACGATCAAGCGAGATGCCATGGCAGACTTCTGGACAATCGTCGAGTTCTTAAATGCCGGATGACGAGCCATCTGCAAGTATTCTTCGGACACATTACCGACGCTTATTTGGTTTCCCTCACCCTCGGCAGGGAGCTGAATTTCCACGGGTCCTATTAGTCCACTTGTTAGCAAACTTGTCAGTCAGTGACCCAGAAGAGGGGCGCTTACTCTTGGAGCCTGGCATCACACCAGGTTTCTCCACTACCTCGTATCCTTCCATCTCACCGACAACACTGCCATTCTCCTCGTCAACCAAAACAATCTTTCCATGTGCGTCGCTAGAGGTAGCTTGGCCGGAGGAGACGTAGCCTTCCCCGGGAGCATAGCTGGCCGGGTTGTACGGAGCGTGCTCCTTCGGTGGAGGCGCTCGCTCGAGGAATGCGGTACATTGTGCCAGAATTGTTTCGAAGGTGTCGATATCTTCCTGTGTCACCTTATCGGGCCCGGCCCCAATTCCTGGGAATTGGATGCGAATGAACGCACCCGCATCAGGTCCCAGATCCCAACGAGGAATCAGATAGCTGTTCGGGGGTTGGTGGTAGATCTGCGTTGTTGCAGGAAGTGCAAGATCCAACTCAGGTGGGAGGTGTAAGTGAAGATAAAAGTCCTCCTCTACTGGCCCGTCTGTGCCTCCAGTCTGAGAAGTCGAAGCGGTAGTGGGAACCATCAATAGAGAGAGGGTCTGGGGTCCGGATGGAGTGAGTTCTGTTTCTTCGCCATTCTGGATGTGGAAGGCAAGAATGTTATTAATGCTGTAGAGGAGTCTGGGATCATGGATGGATGACATTGCGATGAAATGTGTCTCTGCCACTCTCGTATGCGGGGAAGCGATGACGTCGAGGTTCTAGTTGCTAGGTTAAAGGCGCGAGTCGACAACTCAAAGACCAACGGGCTTGAAAGAAGGATCAGGGAAAAAGAGAGTTGAAATGAAATGAGAGAGACGGAAACGAAGAAAAGGAGAAGGATAAGTGGATATAGCAGGATAAATGGCAAAGTCTTGGTGTCCTGAGCGGGGGGGTTATTATTATTCTTAGGACCTGTTTATAAATACTGCCGTGCCGCCAACTGCATCAGTGCAGTCTTGGCACTGCTGCGCCACATGATATCACTGATGCTGCATTGCCACATCCTCTTTCACATGTGACTGAGAATGCTTGAGCCAACCATAATTCATGTGGCGGTGCCCTCTGTGTCGGCATCACTTTCGGTTGTCATAGTTCTTTGTCCAATCCCTTTATTTTGACCTGATTCTAAATCTGAAAATGCGTAGATAAGAATCTGTAAGCATTAGTTCGTTGTTTAACCCCCTAACACTCATCGAAAAGCCCGACCGGTAGAAAGAGAAGCCGGAGTTTTGAACGGCGCTTCCCAACGAAAGTACTCCGTAGTCCACGAACGTCTTTGGAGCCGGCGGCTGCAGATGGAAGAGATGCTGGAGGTCTAGAATCCGACTTTCTAAATCTGGTATTCTCCTCCAAGGTAACCGCTTACTACGCGCTCAGGTCCCATCTTAGGGATAAATGCATCGATATGGCTTCTTTTCAATTGGTATCCGACATCCATCTGGAAGCTCCCCCTGCATACGACCTATTCAACATCCCTTCGAAAGCGCCCTATCTAGCCCTTTTAGGTGACATTGGCTATGTCAAAGACGACGACTTTTTCGCCTTTCTTGAAGGGCAGCTTCGAAAATTCCAAGTGGTTTTCTTAGTATTAGGAAACCATGAGCCCTGGAATTCTACTTGGGCGACGGCGAAGGACAGGGTGAAACGTTTCTCTGAGAGTGTTCGCCAGAGAAAGGTTTCGGAAGAAAGTACAAATCCCGAAAATAAACTCGGAGAGTTTGTCTTTATGGATCGAACACGCTACGATATCTGCCCAGACGTCACAGTACTAGGGTGCACGCTTCACTCCAAAATCACACAGAGCCAGGAAGAGCGCATCTCCGTGTCACTCAACGACTTCTACCAGATCAAGAACTGGGATGTAGACAGCCACCGTGCCGCACACGAGGCTGACCTCGCCTGGCTCAACAACCAAGTCACCTACCTAGCTCAATCGGATCCGCATCGCAAGATCATTATCTTCACTCACCACAGTCCCACAGTTGACGCTCGTGCAACTGATCCTGCGCATGTGCACAGTCCCATCACGTCGGCTTTCGCGACAGATCTCACTGGGGAACCGTGCTGGGAGAAACCCCAGGTGCGCTTATGGGCGTTTGGACACACGCATTATAATTGTGATTTTGTCGACAGCAGAACTGGGAAACGCATTGTGGCGAATCAAAGAGGCTATTATTTTGCGCAGTCTGAAGGTTATGATCCGGAGCTGGTGGTTCGGGTATAGTTGCGGCCGTACTGCGCGGAGATCTGCTGTATAGAATTAGATCTCGTAAAACCAGTGCAACAATAACAACTGGGAAATTTTTCGATATTTAAAGTTTTTTTTTGACGCATGAACAGACAAGGATACCAGGGAATATTTCATTTTCTTAAAATGGCCAATCTCGGGTTCTATTCGATCCAGTAAGGGTCCCTTTGGACAGCCGCGATTAACCGAGGCATAATCGAGCTGCTTTCCCCGTGATTTCGCTCTCGCCCTCTCCCCACAATCTACTCGGACTTACTCTTCCTCTTCCACCTCTCTCTTCGCCTCTTTTACCTCTTCACAGGTTCGGGATTATTCTCCTTCGGTTCTAAAGACTTACCATTTGACAAACTCAGCCATGGCAGCTATCGCCCGTGCTCTGCGGCCCTTGTCCCGCACCGCTCCCTCCTTCCGCCTCGCAGCCAGACAGCCATTGGCGTACCGACTGGCACAAGGGTACGTCCTACCTTGACTTTAATCTATTATTCCACATGCGAGGCTACATTGGTTTAGTCAAGATGTTCACATGTACTGACTTCCCAATCTACAGCACCCATGCTTTCTCTACCACGTCCCGCCGGCGGGACGTCGATCTCTCCAGCCTGACCCCAACCCCAATCACCCATCTCTCCGAAACCGAGTCGCTGATGGCCGAAACCGTCTCCAAGTTCGCCCAGGAGCAGATTGGACCCAAAGTACGGGAAATGGACGAGACTGAAGTCATGGACCCCACACTGGTCGAGCAGCTGTTCGAGCAAGGACTGATGGGCATCGAGATCCCCGAGGAGTACGGCGGAGCCGGCATGAATTTCACCTCCGCCATCGTAGCCATCGAGGAGCTGGCCCGCGTCGACCCCAGCGTTAGTGTCCTGGTGGATGTGCACAACACCCTCGTCAACACGGCCTTTAACAATTGGGCCGACGCCGCGCTCAAGAAGACGTGGCTGCCTAAGCTTGCTACGGGGACCGTCGGTTCATTCTGTCTCTCTGAGCCGGCGTCCGGATCCGATGCCTTCGCGCTGCAGACCAAGGCGGAAAAGACGGCGGATGGGTACAAGCTCAATGGATCTAAGATGTGGATCACCAACTCCATGGAGGCTGGGGTGTTCATCGTCTTTGCGAACCTGGATCCTAGCAAGGGCTACAAGGGCATCACGGCCTTTGTGGTCGAGAAGGATACTCCGGGATTCTCTATTGCCAAGAAGGAGAAGAAGCTGGGTATCCGGGCTAGCAGTACCTGCGTGCTCAACTTTGATGATGTCGTCATTCCCAAGGGTAATCTGCTCGGAGAGGAAGGCCAGGGGTACAAGTACGCCATTGGCCTGCTGAACGAGGGTCGTATCGGTATTGCTGCTCAGATGACCGGTCTGGCATTGGGTGCTTGGGAAAACGCCGCCAGGTAAGATCAACTCTCCCATCGAGCAAGATCCTCATTTTCTACCCCAACATACCACTCACATCGATGACAGCTACGTCTGGAATGACCGCCGTCAATTCGGTCAGCTTATCGGAACTTTCCAGGGCATGCAGCACCAGCTGGCCCAGGCTTACGTTGAAATTGCTGCCGCACGGGCTCTCGTCTACAACGCCGCACGCAAGAAGGAAGCCGGTCAAGACTTTGTCCAGGACGCCGCCATGGCCAAGTTGTACGCATCGCAGGTTGCGGGCCGTGTGGCCAGCTCCGCCGTCGAATGGATGGGCGGCATGGGCTTTGTCCGGGAAGGCATCGCCGAGAAAATGTTCCGTGACAGCAAGATTGGTGCCATCTACGAAGGCACAAGTAATATTCAGCTGCAGACAATTGCTAAGCTCCTGCAAAAGCAGTATACTAAATAGATCAGGAGCTGTTTCTTTTTCTCTTATCCTCCCCCTCCCGTTTCCGTTGCGTACATAGTCGGCGTAAGTGTGTTATAGGATGTTTTGTTTTGAGCGCAATGATGGGGGTCGACGATTTGGCCCCGGTGGCAGAACCACCCCAATGCCTATTGGCAGCGCCTGCAAGTCTTATTTGTTGAGGGCTAACGACGATCATTTTGCATGTATGATATCAGCATTTCGGCTATAGATAGAAGTGAGAACATTTCTGCGCCTCGCTTCGGAACAGAATGAAGCTGTCATGGTTCGATGATAAAGTCTATTCCATTTTCTTCGGCACCAGAGCTGTGGGCACATTTCGGTGTTGGACAGCTCATCTCTCTGTCTGCCTTTCTTGTCCCTCACAGTGTCTAGGTTGTCGTCGGAGCGAACAGAGGTGAGAGCCGGCTCGAAGTTGCTCGGAAGAGCCCCTCGCCTCGGCGCCCTTTCACCGATGTGCATGCTTCAGCGACGGATAAGGGGCATTCCCGGTGGAGGCTTCCTGCGTGAGCCGCCTCGACCCCGACTTCGACCGACAACGACGACAATACACCAAGTCCTCCGAGCATACGCATCGAGGCTCTCTGGTCGAAGCGCTAGCTCAATCGGCATGCAACGAGTCTTCTTCGATGGGAGTAGAGGATCTCGTACTCCATACCCAGACTAATGATAGAATTTCCCATAAATATTGGGGTGCCAGATGGAAAATGCTTGGAGTTCCGGGTGAGTGAGTTCAAGACTGATGTGGCCAGCCGTAGCTGTAGCCGTGATTCCCTCCTGGCTGATTTCTCCCTGGCTGATTTATTCCTGGCTGATTAACGGAATGAAGGTAGTGATGTGAGCCTTGAAGTACTGGATACGCCCCCGCTGCCCGATCTGGTGGGACATCCGGTATTGGCATGGGCGGTTGGCTGGGTACATATGGCAAGGCTTGCTGAGGATGACGTAGAAGCTGTTCTCTGCGGGAACTTTCCGGTCCGCTGGCTCGAAAGTACTGTGGGTATTGTTGGAAAGTAGGATCCGGTGCGTGGGCAACGTTGGTGTTGAAATTGGCGTGCGGGATTGCGTTGGGTATCGTATGAGGAGGCTGGGCCTGCGCTTCGAATCCGTAAGATTCGGCCCTGTTGCTGTAATCCGCATCTGATGATTCGCATATAGATGAGGACCGTGTCGAGCCGTACGTCTGCCATTCCTGCGCGACAGAAATCTGGCTCGACGCTGAGAGGACAGAGGGTGCTCTTGACACTGGAGGTACGTTCAGGGACTCTGAGTAATGACTTGGCGGCGTGGCTCCCGCTGGGCTGGTGTATGATCCGTCTGCGAGGTCGAACCGAGTCTTTAGCAATCAATCCAGCCGCCAATTTGTGCTCAAGGGGCCATGGGAAATGCTTCTCAGTCACATACCGGCACTGCTATAGCTTTGGTTACCAGTGAGCATAGCCAGTTGCTGCCTCAAGCCCTTAATCTCATGCTCCAGGGCAGCATTCCGTCGCATCACGTCATCGAATTGCTGATTCTTGGCTTGAAGCTCAGCCACTTGGTTTTGCAGCCGCTCGATGTGTTCTTTCGTCCGCTGACGAATGGTTCTTTGTGCCTCTCGGTCGTTGGCGCGCTTTCGCGCCAGCTGTTCAGCGGAAAGAGTTGTCACTTTACGAGTTCCCGCGCGGGATTCTCGCTTCTTTGTCGCCGGTTGTGTTGTGTCTTGGTTAGAGCTCATTGTGATGTGCTGACGCTTGCAGCTTACAACGAGTTGTTTTCTACCAGATTTTATCTGACCCGTCGTCAGGGAAGTGCTCGTCGTGATTGCGCATGCATTGACCAGGTGATATCAATACTATCATACAGGATTGCGCACAGGCCGCGGAGAATCAGAAGTTGGCTGTTGAGGTGTCGATATGTGACTTTGGTCGTTCCATGTGCGTGGGTCGCGGTAAATCTCCGAGTTCAAGACACTAGTCTAGAAGGTCACCGACGGATAATACTGACCATCAGGTAGATGATGAAAGAGACGCCAGGGTGATGGATCAGAAGCCTCTGTGGCGCTCGAAGAAACATCCCTGGTTGAACCACTCGTCTGATGTGAAACGCCCGGACCACAACTAAAAGAGCCCCCAGGTCCGGCATCTTTATATACGCTCGGAGTTAGGGACATCCGGCTTTAAAAAGTACCCAAGGTGGACTCGTTGTCTGCGCTGTCAGCACAAGTGCGACAGTCGATATCTGCCAAGTTCGTAAAAGGGAGATAGGGTCGCCAGGTTACCGACCGTCCCCTCGAGCAGTTAGGCCGCCAATGAAACAGATTGCAAGGACGAAATAACCTGTGGGATTGAGAAGAAGAGGGATAGCGCCTTTCTCCAACAGGCTACTTTGATGGCCTATGGGCCGGCGCCATTGCACTTTCCGATCTTCCCGACTACGAGTATGCTCCACGTCTGATTCGCATCAAAAGGGCGGATGATTGGTGATTGGCAACCCCCTCACAGATATTTCCGTTTACTGAAATGCAATCAGTGGTATTGCAGTGGACTTCCCCAAGCATATGCGCATGACTGTCAATTTGGAGACGAGGAGGGAATAATTCTTGTTCGCGACTGCTACCTACCCCTCGAGGCCATAGACTGGCTATGGAATGCGTCCCAGCCAATAGTAATGCATAGTGGCACTCAGAATAGACAGCAAGCGCTCATTGCATTATCTAATTCTTACACCGTCTACCTGGACTTATGGAGTAGATAATTAAATGAACTAGTTAGTGGGCCCTGGAGGACCATGGCCACATGGTGAGCCAGAGACCGACTGGAGGAGCATTAGAAATTAGGCCAACCCCAGGTACATCGCCGAGAAACTCCAGCGCTAAGACGCCCCAAGTCCGAACTTTGTTGACTACTACTGACACAAGTGCATCAATAATGCATTGGGGAGAGCGGTTGCACCTGAATGGTCACGAGTCAGCTTATAACAGAGACTCACACTATGCGAAAGGAAGGGAAAAGAGAGAAAGAAATTCATACCAGAATACACGAGCAAAGGATGTGTGCAGCTTCTTAGTCTTTTGGAAAACTTGAAGCGAAACACGCACTAGTCCTTGGTATAGGAACGTTCGTCGCAGCGGTATCCTAATAGTTGGATTCAGGGACGTATGGCTATTTCCAACAAGAGTGCCTATCGTGGCGCTATCCAGCTAGTCCAAGAACCTTCTTTGTGTCTTCCTCAGCGTGATCTGTGAGCCGAGGTGTCTTTTTGCACTAGATTTTCGATCAAGGAGCGGTCTATCATCCTCATCCGTCAACGATCTATTCCCAGAACGGAAAATTGATCTGGTGTCCCTCAGAAGGATGTTTCGGATCTTGGAACTATGGAAGCAATCTAGAATTCGAAAACCATGGGACCGCCCCTGGAAGTCTGTGAGGATTCGACGAGACTGGCAACCGGGGGACCTGGAGCCTTGATCGTCGTCCCCAGTTTCCTATAACTACGTGACTCGCAGGAATCCCTTTGACCAGCAATTCAGCACCATTTAGCGATATAAACCATTGACCAATGATTGGGTGAAACGGTCAAAGGGCCTGTTGTTTGTTGCGACTGCGAAAGACCAAGGTCGTTGTGCCTGTAGAGCGTAGACCAACAGAGCATGTCATCGGCAATATCCCAGAGCCAAGAATCCAGGTAGCCAGTAAGCGGAGACCATCCACGTTAGGAAATTTTTTACGGCGCACGCAATAGCCGAATGAGACAATTCAAGGCCTCTGAACGTCTGAAGGCTGGCTGAACAATAATCGAACAGCTATATGACGCAACAATCAACGGCATGGAACAGAAAAGAATCGCCTCAGGATCTTCCATGCTTTACCAGTCAATTTGAGTCGACTTTGCTTCTCGATGGACAAGAATAGATATGATACTGAGCAATTAGGTGACGCGGTAAGCCCGAGGATGTACCGGTATGGCACACAATCACATCAAGGCTAAGACGTATGTGGGCCTGGCGGCTGCAGAACATAGTTAACTACTCCGTACCTGTACTTTTTGCCCAATTCGTTGGTGCTTGGACTCGGAGTATCCTTACCTCTCTGGAAATTGGCCCATTTGTTCCAAGCTTTCCTGTCAACTCCTGGTTAACTAATGGACTAGTTAGGTTAGGCGTCAAATGATAGATATTTTCTTAGTCAGTCATATAAACAACGTGGCTTCGTAACTTGATCCCGGTTAGCCTAAAAGGAAATAGTGACATGGTCAACAGCCGCGGACAGCTTCAACTCGTTGCTCTCAGATCCCAGGGTTCACCATATCGAGATATCTCAAGATACGAAGCTCATGTCACAGATCTTGACTCCCTGTCGACGGGTTCACGAAGCCGCAGCGAAGTATGGACCCCAATTGTCGGGGTCATTACTGCCGCACTCCGTGTGTGGATCAATCGCGACTCGGCTGGTTTCCGGCCACATAGTTTGAGCTAAGGGCTTGAGGAGGAGTTTGGTTCACATAATCGATTTGCCAGGATCCAGATTCCAGACTGGTTAGGTTCAATGTGGACAATACGTACCTAGTTTATACTCCGAGATAATGCAAACACTCCATCGTGGCGCATCAATATTCCTCTTCCAACTTCCATCAAATCGTAGCAAGAGCTCGAGAGCCCCGACTGTTGGACCCTCCTTAAACCCCCTGCATCTGAATTATTGGAAGCAGTCAGTCACCCACCAGAGGATATCTATCGGTCATCCACGCATTTTCAGTTGTCAGAGTGCGAGGCTTTAATTCAGTTCTCCGGCCCGCAATCGGCTTGTCTTGCATGATGTAATGCTTTCTAGTGTGAACAGATTGTTGGATACGAATGTATCTCAATCCCTCGGTATCGCCTGTCATAAGGCAGCTTGTTTCAAGCTTCCGAGTTTCGTCCAGTAACGATTGCGCCCACCCGGGACATCGGATGAACAGAGATGGGAACTATCCCCTATTCCTCGTCTCTTAGAAGCTTCCGACTTCTTCAAGAGGCCAGTAGTATTGGAAAACATGATTTGAGAACATCAGAAATGAGGCTCTTGCTGGGACGAAGTTGGGGGCATCTCCCTATGTCCTACCTCAAGTACTGGTGTTGTCCCGAATTACCGTACAGCCGCATTACCGAAACCTCTCCACCCCAGATACTGAAAGTTGGTATCTTCTAAGCATCTTGCGTTGTCTCTTTGACGTGCTTCGATTCTCCCTTCATGCAGCCTGCAGTTGGGATTGGCTCTTCTAGATGAGTTGCCTCTCAATAAAGGTGCAAATCACGCCACGTTGAGTCAAGATGGATCCAAATTATAAAGCTCGCAAAGAGGCCTTTGTCTCAGGTCTTGCAGGAGGAAGCATCCTGGAAATCAATGCTGTCACCCTGGTTGCTTCGGTTAGTATTACTATCTTATTGTGCCTACTTCGTCCACATTGTTTCTCGACTAATCGAATCTCGTTCGCGATCGATCAGGTATCCGTCTTCCTTTGGTCAATTCTACAATCTCGCCTATCCTTTTTCACTCCCTACAGCGCGGCCGCCCTCCTCGTTGATTTCCTGCTCAATGTACTAGCTATCTTGTTCGCAACCACTCTATACTGCTCCGCGCCTCTTCTTCTCAATCTCCTTCTAGTATCTCCTGCTCTGCTGATACTCCTCTCTACGAAACGTCCTCGGACACCGGTCAGAGCGAAACCTCCCCGCCAGTCCGCTACAGCCGGGAAAGATGACCCGAAGCATGCGACAGTCTTGCCAGAGTCTCTACCCATTCATCCGTTTCTCACGACCTATCGTGCCGCCATGATGATCATCACGTGTATCGCTATTTTGGCTGTCGACTTTCGTGTTTTCCCCCGCCGATTCGCCAAGGTAGAAAATTGGGGTACATCACTCATGGATCTGGGCGTTGGATCTTTTGTCTTTTCGGGCGGAGTAGTATCCGCTCGCTCCCTCCTCAAGAGCAGAATCAATGGCTCTAAAAGGGTGCCTCTTGCCAAGAGGTTGGTTGCGTCAACGCGGCACTCTATACCTTTGCTCGTCTTGGGCCTGATTCGGCTATACAGCGTCAAAGGTCTGGACTATGCGGAGCACGTCACGGAGTACGGTGTGCATTGGAACTTCTTCTTTACGTTGGGTCTTTTGCCTCCGTTTGTGGAGATCTTTGACGCCTTGGCTGCGGTCATCCCGTCATACGAGGTTCTCTCCGTGGGAGTCGCCGTCTTGTATCAAGTGGCCCTGGAGTCAACCGACTTGAAGAGCTACATTCTCGTCTCCCCTCGTGGGCCAAGCTTACTGTCCAAGAATCGCGAAGGTGTCTTCTCCTTCTTAGGTTATCTCGCGATTTTTCTTGCTGGCCGTGCGATCGGCATTCGGATAATCCCTCGCGGGACTTCTTCCTCAAGGAGTCCAGAACAGGCCAGGAGACGCGTATTGATCAGCCTGGGTGTGCAAGCATTCGTGTGGACCGCTCTCTTTGTGTTGAACTCCACTTATGTGATGGGATACGGAGCTAATATACCTGTCTCGCGCCGTCTCGCTAACATGCCCTATGTCCTTTGGGTTTCGGCTTTCAACAACGCGCAACTCTTTGTATTCTGCCTGATCGAAACATTCTGCTTTCCGACAGTTCATCGGACAACGACTCAAAAGAGCGAACATGAGCGAGTCGCTTTTGCTACGAGCCGAATCATGTCGGCGTTCAATAAGAACAGTCTCGCGATCTTTCT